CACGGGGGCCTCGCCCGCCGCGCGGGCCCCACCTGAGAGCGCCTCGATGGCCTTGAGGGCCCAGCCCTCGTCCGGGCAGTCCACGAACGCGTAGCCCGTCTTCACCAGGAAGGGTCCCGACACCGGGATCTTGGCGTCCTTGAAGATACTTTCTAGGTCCGAGGGGGCGGCGTTCTCGCTGAGGTTTCCAATGTACAGTTTGTTCATTGTGAAGAGTGGTCGGTTTAAAAAATTTAATGAGAAAAACGAAAAATTAAAACCACCCACAGTGATGGACAGATCCGGCGGGTTTTGTTCCCCCTCGTCTTCTCGCCTTTAAAACACACAGCACTGTAAGAACCAAGCGCAAGAACGAGGAGCGGAAAATCAGATCCGAGGGCTCTTGTTTTTCCTTTTCTAGGTATTAAAAAAAGGAGAAAGAAAAAAACCTAGCCACAACCCAAACACGACGCCGAGTCTTCCTAACTCTGAGGAGGCGGGATTAGCAAGAGAAAGGAGGAGGAAGGAGGAGGGGAAAAAACTACTTTTTGTCTCTTCCTCCCCAGCCCCTTTGGCACGGCCGGCGGACTGTGAAAATATCACACTACGTGCGGCAGGCGCCGCCTCCCCCGAAGAACCCCGAAGGGTGACTGGCAGGAGGGACGGAGGGGAGGAGGAGGGAGGCGCAGGAGGCGGAAAAAATCCGCTCCGAGTGTCCGGCTTTTTGAATGAGCCACGTGTTCAAACTACAAATCAACGTCTCACGTGAGGAATCCCAGCGCCTCAATTAGAGCGGGTTTCGGAGGAAAGGAAAAAAAAAAAGAGCGAGCGAGGGGAGAGGGGGAGGGGAAGCGAGCTGGGGCGGGGGGCTGGGGGGGAGGGGGAGGCTCGAGCGGCCGCAGCCGGGGCGCAGGGGCGCAGGGGCGCAGGGGCGCGCGGCGCGGGGAGCTGATTGTCACCGCCCGAGTTTAGTAAGGGTCATCTGGTCGGGGCGGACCCGAGGAGGGAGGGTTAGCATACTGATTATTTTTCTTTTAAAAAGGGGCTAGAGATGCTAACTAGACAGTTCCTCAGCTCTAGTCACTGCAATTTTAATCATTCGATTTTAAAAAATAAATTAAAACCAAAGAGTCACAATCTCCAAGTCGCCTGGTGGCTTTGATGACAAGAGAAGTGTAACCCCGGCCAAGCATGGGGCACATTTCCAAGGCTGGCAAGGACGGAAGCGCACAGGGGGTGGGGGTGGGAGGAGGAGCGGGGGTGGGGGCGGGCAGACGCGCCCCACCCTCAGCACCCTCACCGGGCCCCGGCTTGGGGAGCGGGGCGCCGGGCCGGTGGGGGAGGGGAGCCCGCGGCGTCCTGGGCGGGTGTCTGGCGACACCTCCTCCGCCTCGGCTCGCGGTGGCTCAGGGCTGCGCGTTTGCCATTGGCTGCTCGATTCAGAAAAGGATAGGGGATAAATGAGGCCGGGGGCGGGCTTGTCCACCGGTGGGGGAGGGGAGCGCAGGGGCGGTGGTTCCTGGCTTGGGCCTGGGGACGCGGGGGGGCCCGAGCTGCAGGAGAGAAGTCCGAGTGGGGAAAGTCGGTACTTAAAGGGAAACCCTTTGGTCTAGAGGGGAGGGAGAGGGTAGGTTGGTAGTTTAAATAATTTTAGTTGGAGAACTTGGGACTCAAACAGGAAGACCGCTCTGGGTTAGCCCTAGGTGGAATTTGCACTTGAAAAACTGTTCGAGTCTCTTTGCCTGCGTTTGACCACGCGAGCCATTCATAATTTTCCTTGTATGTAAGGAGTACAATGGTTGGGGGTGGAGGGTCTGGGCCCGGTGCAGCCTTCCCGGGCCAACGAGCTGTGAGCTGGAGACCAGGAATACGGAAACGAAGGCAGTGCTGAGGATCCTGGGGAAATCTCTACCGTGTAATGGTTGTGTGCTCCACTCCAAGGATTCATTTTGTATCAGATACTTGTGAAGTATTTTTAACAGGTATTTTATAGAAAAGATACAAAAATGCTAATTTTTAGAAAGTGAAATGCAATACAGCGTGAAAATATAAACAATAACCGTATTAGTAGAAAAATGTGAATAGAGAAAATACTGATTTACACTGGAACATCTTCAGTAATTGACAAGTTATAGTTCGCTTCTTTGTCAAAATCACACGTAGCGCGCAAGTGTATTTTCCTATCAAACGATGAATGGCAGATTATCTTTAGAGCAGGGGGAATACTATATAATGTATTTTAAAATATATAATGTATTTACATTTTTGTCTTTTTTTAAAAGAATTTATGATTTTTCTAAGTAACCGGAAGCTCTCAGGTCATCCATTTTAAATGCAACTGTTCTAACTGGTTTTTCTTTCCTACCAAGCATATCCAACTTTATAAACATAAACACACTTTCACAGTATTTTCATTTCCGTTTAATTTAGTGAAACGTTTTCATACCACAAGAGGGGACAAACGTTCTTATATCACAGAGTTTAAAACTGTATTAATGAGCTCAATCTGAAAAGTATATTTTGGTGGTAAAATTTCTCCTTATGGTCAAGTTTAACTTTTTAGAAGAGTTTATTTTTCTTTTTCATGGCTTTTAGAAGAGAAAATTTGTTCAGAAAAGGAAAAAAAAAAATGTATTCTTGTGACTTCCGTTGATCCAAAATGTCCATGTTAAAAATGTTTGTTATGTACCTGTTGCATGTGATCAAAAGCTATCTGGAGAAATATGCTTTTTTCATATTTGCTTTTCTAAAAGATCACTTTAGTCTTGATCACTGAACTTAGAAATTTTTCATAAGAACAAATTACATATGGTTAGCTTGCTTACAAAATGGATTGAATGGGGGCTTGTTGATTGTTAGCTGCACTTTGGTTCTTATTAAAACCAAGACCTAAGGAAATAACTACTTTTCAAGCACGGGATAAATTGTTTATTTTCCATTAATACTAGCCCGTGCTTATCTGTCACTATCAAACAAACCGAACAGCTGGAATTTCAAACAAGTGTGTGCTGTTTTGATGAAGTATGTTCCTGGGACTCCTGTGAACTTAATCTGTGTATTATTGTAACAAACTGGATACTCCAGCCAGGACCTTAAAACACACACAGAAGTAATAGAAGCTCAAAAAACGAGGTGAATACAGCCCACTTCCAATCTTCCAAGAATTTAAGGGATGAGTATATATATTCAGTGGCTAAATAAAAAGATTATGAATTGTTTTCACTGCACCTGAAGAACAAAAATTTTCTCTGGTGAATTTTCGGAAACGAATATGATGTCCGTGTGTAGCTTCCAGGCTTTTAATGAATCTCACAAAATTAACTGCACCTGGGCCACTCCAGGTTCTTCCTGAAACACTTGTGGTTTCTAATTAATATTAATTCCACCAAAGAAGGACTTCCACCCATGTTTTTACTCTTTGGACAGCTACCTCCTGTCCTTATCTGCTGACCTGAAGGCAATAAAACTGTTTCTTGCCGGTCAGTGTACTACTGAGGAGAAATGAAGGTCGGTTACGCTGCATATCCACAGGTTGAGGGTGAAGGCTGGGCAGGCAGAGGGCAGGGGCAACCCCGGGGCTCCCCTTCCCCGCGCCCGGCCTCCGGGAGCCGAACGCGGTGGACACACAATGCCCGCCGCTCGCCTGGGCCTCTCCTGGACTCTGATCTGCTTACACGAGAGGCGCGACGGTGGTAACCTGCTCTCCCCTTCCTCCGGAGTCTGCAGTTCATTTTTGTTTAAAATTGTTAAAAATGGTGGCCCGGAGGTGGGAACAGGGGGGTGTTTTGTTTCCTTTTTCCTCCAGCCTGGCCCAGGGAAAGAAGGCGGGGTCCGCGCAGCTCACCCTGGGGAAGGTCTTCCGTCGGCCCCGACCCCGCTGCGCCCTCCCCCTGGCCCTGCCGCGGGACGGCGCGGCGCGAGGCCGGGACGGCGGGACGGCCCGGGGGGCTCCGGGGCGCCCCCTCCGCGCAATCCCACCTGAGAGCCTCCCGGCGCGAGCCGCGGGAACAGACGGGCAGCGCGCGTCCGGCGACCCCTCCGCACCTCCGGCCTCCGCTTCTGCACGCGAGCGGCGCCCTGGAGCTCGAGGATGCTCGGTACCCATGGAGAGAGCACAGGAAGCCCTGGCCGAGCCCGAGCCTCTGCCCTGGGCGGGGCCCGGCGGCCCGACGGCGCGCAAAGGCGCCCAGGGCGGGGCTCCGGCGCAGCCCCGCCGACTAGCAGAGCCCAACTTGAGCAACGGGCGCCGGGAGAGACCCCGCCCCTGAGCAGGGCGTTCCCGCTTCCGATTGGTGGAGGAGGGAGCCTATCACCGTCGGCCGGCTCCTCTGGAGCCGTTTGCTGGTTCCCATTCATTGGTCCAGGAGCCGCCCTAGGGATTTCTATCTTTTGTGGCGCGAAAATAACCCTTTGCTCCCTCGTAGGTTTTGTTGCGGTTGAGGCGTGGGGTGGGGTCCCCCTCTCGTGGCTCTTCTTCCTCCAGCCCTTTAACTGCTCGCCCCCGGCCCCCTCCCAGCCCCAGCCCCCAGGGAAGAAAGGGAGGTTAGGACACTGCCCCGCGCCCGGGAGCGCAGCCGCCCTCGGGCTGACCGCGTGGCGCCGCGGCTCCTCCCCTCCCCCACGCCCGCCCCCCGAGGTCCCGGCTCTGCCCGGCTCCGCGGCCAGCATCGTGGCGTTCACAAGGCTTTAAAAATGTAAAACAACCACAACAGTACGTCTCCAGGTGCCTGAACTTTCCGTGAGCTCCAGTGGAAAGTTCGCTCATTCTGCCCCCTCCCCAACCCCCTTTGTGGTCCACCGGGTTGTTTTAAGCGAAACCAAACACCCCCTCCAAAAAAAAAGCAAACGAAAAATTCCGGTAAAATCAACTTTGCCGAGCCCACATTTTCGTTGAAGCTGAGACCGACCGTGAAGGATGAACGATTTCTGTAGCTGAAATGATCTAATTTTACTGATGTTTGGTGAAGGCGGCGAGAAAAAATAAATATGAATTCGCCTTGGAAAAATACGAAACAAACGAAATAATCATATTTAATATGGTTAACTGAAAAGGTAAAGAACTGCAGGGCTGTGTTCCAAAGGCTGTTGCCTTTGGTAGGTTTCTTGTATCCAGTAAATAAATTGCTATTGGTCTTCTCAGAAGTAAAGATCAGAATAGTAGTGACAGAAAGAAGGAAGTGTGAATGTCTTTGGTGTATCTAATTCCAAAACAAACTTCACCAGTCTTTGCTTATTCGGACAAAAAGGAAATGTCCCAGTTAGGAATAGATACCTTAATAATGAGTTCACATAATTTAATTGTTCGTTTTTTCAGTCTGTAAAATACTGGGTTTGGTTAAAAAATCTGTAAAATTCCTCAGTAAATATTAAAAATTTTGTGAGAATTGGTTTAAATCAAAGACTTAGCTTTTTTTTTCTGTATTGTTAACTCTCTTAGATATATTGTGTTACCTCATCCTCTATAAGTTCTTTTGGAAAAACTGTATTTACTCCTGCACTATTTAGCTCTAGTCTCTAAAAACTATCAATATCATGTGCCATAATACTAACATAGTTATATTAAGG